GATGTTCTGTTTGTTTAAAAGAATTCTAAGAGCAGTAGTATTTTTCGCGTAATCAGTCTTTTACTGTTACCAATGTGAGATTCTATTATAACACCATTTGACCAAGGAACTTTGTGATATATAGGGATTCTGTGATAACTAGGAATTTAGTTTCTTGATAATACTCTACAATTTGTGTTATTTAAGGACTTTTGCACCAATTTAGTAGATTTTATGAACAAGAGTGGAAATGCACGCAAGTTATTTAGGGCTCACTTTGGAGATGTTCCTTAGGCAATGTGAGATTACAGTTATACCTTAAACTGATTGTTGAAACCTGCTGGTTCTAATGACTGACTGTTTCTGAGTCTAACTCCAGGTGTAAATATCAAGGAAGGTTGTCTGAGCCAATGATCCATGATGCCAGTAGCCCTGTGAGGGGCATGTATGAACTGCAGGTATGATTTCATGGGAAGGTTGAGAGGGCAACTGTTCTATAATCAGAAGATTTTGTAAGTACAGTAACAAAGTTGCTAAAATAATTGATTATGGAACATCTCAGATCACTATAGAACTGGGACTTGTGTTCCTATATGAGTTAGGGTCCTTTAATTCTTGGTAATGGTATGGAGACAATTAGGTTTATTTTGTAAATGCTATCGAAGAAACATGGCATGACTAAAAGTTTAAGATTTTATATATACTGTATTAAAATTGATTATTTAATATATTTATGCATGTACTAGAGCCTGTTATTAACCCCCTTAGTGAAATCTCACCCTCCTGGTGAGGAAATTAATAATGGATTAATGTAAAGTATGAGACACTGGGTTCTGAGGTGAATTTCTTAAACATGACAATTGACCATGGTTCCAATTTTGAGTTTGTAAAATGATCAGGGTTATAAGGATTAGAAATGGTAATTTAAAATTGTGCTAAGGTCACTTTTGCAGGAGAATGGATAGAAAGCTGGTTCCTACAAGAAGACAAGGTGCTGGAAATGGCTGGAACAAACACTAAGGACCAGAGGACTTCATTGATGATATCCCCTGCCAGACAGCTGTATAGGAAAAGACTTTTTGAATTTTAAAGGGACCAATTGCTCAAACTCTCCCTCTAGGGTTTCCTGTTCATAAACTACAAGTAGGTGATTGGGTATATGTTCGATCTTGGAAAGATGACAAATTCACCCCAATTGGGATGAGCCCTTTCAGGTACTTTTAATGTCTGATACTGCAGTTCGCAGCCAGGAGTGGGGTTGGACCCATCACACCAGAGTAAAAGGACCAGTGGCGCCTCCTCCATCTGAATGGATTGCTGAAAAACAAGAGGACCCCAAACTATATCTATGAGGGAGACTGCCTCCTACGGGTCCTTATCATGATCCTTAAACTTCTTTCATTTCTTATAGTGACTGTTACTGCTGCACCTATCCCTGTACTGTTTCCACAAGAGAATCAATTCATACAATTTATGCAAAAAGTAGGGGAAATATTTAACCTCAAGAACTGTTGGATTTGGGGGGGCCTCAACAGCTTGAGCAATGGCCATAGGTACCCGTGCCCTTAAGTCCAGCCTAGATCTTAAGTAACAGATCAGAGGTTAATAATCAAACAGGTTTTTTGGGCTGAGACGGAAGAACATTCCTGGCCCCTAGCTGAATCAATTAAAGGGAAGTATTGTATTAATCAAAAGGGTAGAGGAAAGCAATTGGGGATGAGTACATGTGAGTATACTTATTCCTGCCAGATTGGTTACTTTGAAGTTGACTGTTCCCTAAATGCACTAATGGGACATGGATATCATGTAAGAGTGCAAGGTACCTTACTGGTACTAAATACCGCACAACCTGCAGATATGTATTGGCAGGAGGGAATTCTCATTTAAGCTGTAATCTTTCCCAGGAAATTGGTGACTTAGAGAGACTAAATCTACGTAAAGATGAAAATAGTATTAATGGGAAACTGAGGCTTCCTTATTATGATTGGGCATGGAGAAATCAAACATGGTCTGGATATTTTAGGAAATTTTGGAGCAAGGAGGATCGTACTAATTCAGATCCAGGGGTGGAAAATTGTAATTGGAAAAAATAAACAGCTATGGAAATGTATTTATAAAGATGGGGACCATATACAGTTCTGAGGGGACCATTGGCAGACAGGGATATTCAATATTATCCATCAAGAGGAAATGTGAGTCGAATTTTCAGTAAAAAACAACCAGCTTTAAAATGCCATTATTGGATATGTGGTTTAACTGCTTATACACACCTTCCAACAGATTGGACTGGAAATTGTTATACTGGATTAGTGAGACCTAAATTCTTTTTCTTATCAGGACAAGAAGGGAAGCAGTTAGGGATACAACTATATGATGACCTTGAAAAGAGATCGGAGGTCAACTGATTCATCTACAGGAAATGCTAACGGTTGGGGGGATGGCTGGCCCCTGGAAAGGATAATAAAAGAATATGGACCAGCAACCTGGGCACAAGGGTGGAAGTTGGGGATACAGGACCCCGATTTATTTATTAAATAGATTAATTAGGTTACAGGCTATTGTAGAAATTATAACTAATCAGACCACCAAAACTACTGATTTACTTGCAACTCATGCCGAGCAGAGCTGGGAGGCTATTTTGCAACATAGACTAGTATTAGATTATCTGTCAGCTGAAGAAGGAGGTGTATGTGGGAAACTGAATTTGTCAACATGTTGTATAAAACTAGATGATGTAGGACAGGCAGTCAAAAACATTAACAAAGAAATTAGAAAATTGGCCCATGTCCTGGTTCAAACATGGTCAACTCCCTTTAACACCACTTGGTGGTCCTGGTTTGGGGGCAGTTGGTAGAAACAACTCCTGCGGTTTGTGCTAAGAGCCTTTAGTGGAATTATTTTACTTCCTATATGTGTACCTTGTATAATTCAATTAGTTACTAAGTTAGTAAAAGATAGCATTGCTAAAATGATTACTACTGCCTCTGATAATACCAGAATGTTGCTTTTTCAGGGAAAGGGTTGGGTACCTATGGCAGCATCAGAACAGGATGATCCTGATAGGAATGAAGGAGAGTTAGATGAAGTGTGTGAGATGATGTTACAAAATTGTGAAGAGATCTCAGTAAGATAAACGTGGAGGGACTGAGTGAGACAATGTAAAAATGTGAGATATCTCAGGACTGAGTGTAACAGTTTTGTAGACTGTTACAAACTCAAGGTTGGTGACACTAGCCTGAAAAGGCCCAAGTTTCAAGTTCCTAGAAAACACATGATCTGTACTGTTACATTAGTATTAGGGTAATGGCTAATGCTAAATAAGGATAAAATAGCTAGGATTGGTAGTATTATAATGAGATTCCTCGTTTCTGGGGTAGATTTTTGCATTTTAGATTGTAAGGCTGAAATTCCTGTCCAATGGGAATTTACAGCCAGTGGTGGGTGGGTGTCTCTGCATTAGGACTGTATACCTTTGTTCTGACCTTTGCGTCTCGCCTTGCTTTGTTCAGACTGCTGGATAAAGCAGATGCCCACTCCTCATGAGAATGTAATAAATCTTTCACTTTATACCTCTGAGTGTTATTTTTGGGTAACCGTAGCACACACCTCACCAAAAAAAACATATGAACAAAAAAGCACATTTGCATTTTAAATAAATACATTTCATACATACTGCGATCAAGAAATAAAAATGTGACTTAAAACAACATTTAGCCTTTGGAATTAAAGTTTAAACATAATGCCAATCTCAAATTTTAAAAGTGACAATAATGATGGCCTCTGTCAACAGGCAATCAGAACTTCACAAAACTTGTGTAAAAACTAGGTTTATTACAAGAGAAATGAATATGCATGTGGAAGCCAAAGAGTTCACAATCCATGCAGAAGTCTGAATATTTATGACAGCAGGACAAATGAAGAAGGAGATACCAGAATCTCCACCTAAAGGAGCATTACATGGGAGAGGAAAGGTGCACTAAAGGTAGGAAAAGGACAAAACCCCACTTAAAGGGGAAGACCAAACTGACAGCAAAAGCCACATTCTTTTCCCTTGGAAACTGCTAAACCATGAAGATATAACAGTCTCCTTATCTTCACTGGTCTGCATAAGCCTAGTTGCAGACTGTCTGGTGCCTGTCTTGACTCCCAAGGACCCAAAAGGAGTCCAGTTTGGGATGCAAACAACAAATTATGTCCAGGAGAAGGGGACAAGGCAGGAGCCTTCATTTTGACACATTCAGAGCTTCCTGTATGCTCCAGATCCAGTGTTTGTGGAAAATATGGCAACTCAAAAAGACAAGTTCAGGGGAACCCTTAATAGTCCTTAATTCCTCCTTGTTCAAGTCTCTCCACTAAAGCACAGGCCTGACCATGTCACCTCACCTACTCAAATTACTGTGGTTCCCTATTGCCTCCAATCCAATGCAAACTGTTTGGCTTTTAAAATTCTTCACAACCTGTCTCTACCCTACTCTTTTGGATATAATTAAACACTATTACCCATCATGCTCTCTTTAGTGCAGCCAAACTGGTTGCCTTGCTGTTCCACACCCTCTCTAACTCCTGTCCATCTCTCTGTCTTTGCACCCAGCCCACATCCCCCATTCCTGAAATGCGTACTCCCTCTTCACCTACACCTCTGAGAAATTCCAATTTTCTTTAAAGCTCAAAAGCCACCTCCTACACAAGGCCTTTCCTGATTTCCCTAGCTGCTAGTGCCTCCCCACCACCCCATAAACATATATGCATACATACATACATATGTATATACACACATACATATACATTCACACAGGTGTATACACACACACATATATGAGTGTGTGTGTGTGTGTGTACATGTTTGTCTTCTCCTACAGAATGTAAGCTCCTCAAGGTAAGAGATTTCTGTCTCTATAACTCCTGCACAGTACCCACCACATAGTAGGTACTTCAAAAATAAATGTTGATTTGATTGGTGGTCTCACTTTTCTCTGTGTTTACAAAATTTCATTTTTAATGAGTTATATGTCTAGTAATACCTTTGAGTATTTAAAAGTCCCTGTATGTGGTATCCAATAACAATTCTCTTTTTCCAGCTGCTTTTAGTTGGTCTACTTTAATCAATTCTTTACAAAGATGCACATTCTGGCTGCTTAAACCACTTATCTGTAACTGGTCAATACTTTTCTGAGTTCCAAAGGTTTCTTAACATGTTCTTCCATGCCATGATTTGTCTGCTTGAGATCTTCAATCTACCAGAATTAAGAAGAAAAGAATCAGATGGTTTCCACAGTTAGATTTTTTTTCATAGCATAAGTTGGCATTTTATAATAAAACAGGCAGGTAATAAAAACTTCATTCATTTTTGGTTTTTGCATATAATTTTTTGGACAAAACACCTACATTAGTAGCAATGAAGTCACATCTCAAAAACTATTTCCGTATTACTTTAATAATAAAATTTTCTTGGCTAAAGTGATATCATTTGAAATGCCATTACCAGAAATGTAACTCTTTTGCAGGGATAATTTTAGTGTGGTATAAAAAAAAGAACAGGAAGAGTGAATTCAGAAAGCCTAGGTTCCCGTCTCCATTCTGCCACCTTCTCTTAATACCTCTGTGCCTTCGGGCAAATCACTTAACTTCTCTGAGCCTGAACTGATTTCCATGACCTCTAAGGTGTTTTCCAGGTCTAAATACTATGAGCATTTTCTATAACATGCAACCAACTGCCTTGACCATTTTCATCAGCAATAAACACTGTCTGGGCTCACTGTGCAAGACCCCTTGCTAAGTGTTCTGGAAGGCATGTGATCTCTTCCTACAATCTACCACTCTCCAAGGAAGATGGCACCAGGTCAAAAAAAAAATAGATCACTCCCATCCCTACAACTGTCCACATGCCTTCAGTCTATGAGGCTAATAGAGGGTGTGGGGTAAGATTGGGGGAAACCAACATTGGATTATTTAAAATGAAAAGAAAACCAGGTTTTCAATCTTCATACTTCTTTGCATTCATCCTACAAATAAAAGACTACTATTTGCAAGGTATTGTGCTATGCACTTGTAGGGAAACACAAAGATAATACAATGTAGTTACTGCATTCAAGGATTTTATAAAACTACAGCATCCCTAGTTATTTAGCTTCAGATTCATCCTCCCTCATTCCTCCTTTCAATCCCAACACCAGACCAAAAACAAACAGAAAAAACTCCCAAAACATGGAAACCCAAAACCATTTCTTAAAAATGAATATTTTACCTACATGACATCTATGATATCTGCACTTTTTTTCCCCAAAATCATATTAAATTCCTAAAGAGCAGGGCCTGTTTTAAAAATCAAGTTTTTAACCATGCAAATCACTGTTTTCAATACTTACTGATAAGCTTAAGTAGAGCACAGAGATTTTATACTTGAAGTTGGATACAAAGAAGAACTATTTTTAAGCAACAGAAACTTTGGAAGATTTAAAAAACAGGAACTTAAGATTTTTAAACCTATAAAACTAGGAAAATACTGCCACGTTTGTAAATGAAAAGAAACTATGGGCTTTAGATGCCTTTCAACCTTATAATTTTCCATACCTCAACTAATATTCATAATATTCATGACATTCAGGATCAAAAATTAGAAAAGCAATAATTAGAGTAAAGATGAACTAACTCCTTTTTAAGGGGTTAAAATCAGTCTGTCATTAGTTAGCTTGGTACACAAATACAGTCACAGAAAACAAGCCTTATTTATATTGCACTCTAAGGTTCATGAAGTATTCTTGTATGCATAATCTCATTTGACCCTGAAGGCAACTCTGTGAGATAGATAGATATGTCTTCAGGGTCATACATCTCCCAACTTTACAAATAAGGAAACTAAAGCTCAGAAAGTTGAAGTGATTGTTCTATGGTCACAGAGACAATAAATAAACATTAAAGGCAAGATTTAATTTCAAGTTCAGTACCCTTTTCACTACATACCATGCTGACTCCAGTATGATACGAGAACTAGGCTAAGAAAATATAGCAAACTAAAACTAAACCAAAGACGAATAAGAGGGCAAATCTGGGAATCGTAAGGCTGCCCCTTCTGTCTTCAAAGGGGTTTAAAAATTTGTAGTACCCAGCTGCTGCCTTGTAATTGCCTCCTTGTGAAAAATATCAGCCCCTATTTCTGAATTTTACCAATATAATGGGCTCCATGACAATTAAAATGTATAATTTTTATCTATAATCAACATAAATTGTTTACTGTTCTATTTAAACTACAACACTAACTACTATTTTAAAATCATGGTTAAAAACAAAATTTAAACCATAATGGTTTAATGGCTGGTACTATTCCTCTGCTTAAAACTAAGGTCTTCACATTACCTCTCATAAATTCATGTGAAATAACAAGGATATATAAGAGTACATGGACAAAAGTCACATGGGATAAGAAGGTATGGGTAGCTTATTATCTATCCTAATGGAGACAATATCCACATCAAAGAGACCACAAATCCACTGAAGTATTTAAATATATTATAAACCTTGTTAGAGATGTCTGTGAATTAAGGTCCCAGAGTACCTTTCAGGGTTATGATGACTCTAACGGTTCGGGTCCTACCCAGTAGCCTAGGAAAATCATTACAAAGGAACCATAGATTGATGCCAAATCCCCATAAGCAAACACAACGATCTCAATGCATCAAATGGAAATTTTTAAAGAAAAATAATTTAACATTATATATTCTGTTGTAGCCCAATCACATAATTAAAATAATATCCTTAATAAAACTGAAGTGGAAAAGTTAAGCAAATTATTCAATGTCACAAAGCAAGTCTAATTATATATAATATTAAAATGTAACTGATGAATCATAACTCATTCACTTTTCTTCTAGGCTGCACTGACTTGAAAAATTTTTTTTAAAAATCTCAGCTCTGAAAATTGATCTCAAATTAACAGAAGAAAATGTGATTATAACATAATAGCAAACAATAAATACAGTAAACAAATAACAGAAATTGGTTTACTTCTTGACTCTAAGCTGTCAATAACAACATATGCATTTAAGGCTGAACTGTTTGGTCTTAAAGAATTTATAAATTTTTTTTATTAGCCTCATTTGCTATATAGCATCAACACATATTAATGCAAGAAAATGACATACATGTTTGTTTAATTTTTATAACCTGTAAATTTAGCTTATGGATGAGTCTCTCTTGGTTTCTCACTTCTTGGGGAGTATTACGATATTTCTCAGCTTTTTTTATTGGAGCCCCTAGGCCAAAATCATGTTCTTTGGTGGTAACCTGTTAGGAAGATTAAAAAACAATATAGATCTTCATATAAAAATGGCCTTAAGATTTGTAACAATAACTGATACATTTGTAAAATAACGGTATTAGTCTAAGGATGCACAAAGCGGTAACATTTCAAATAGTCCATATCCTTCAAGGATTTCAGATTTATACAGAACAAATAATATGAAATTATTATTTTCATTTTTAAAATCTAGATTATATTTACCAACTCATTAATACTTTTAAAGATATCCTGGGAATTAGAAAACACAGCCTTTTAAAGCTTAAAAAAACTTTGGGATTAATCTAGTCTAAATCAAATCCATTATTTTATATATGAGGAAACAAGTAAAACCTGAGATAAAAAAACACTAAAAAGGTAGCACGTTATATGATAAACCCATTAAAACACTTGCATTTTTATATACCATTAAGAAGAAGAATTAATTTCTTAAAAGAAATAATATTAGAAAAATGGATAATTTTATTACACAAAATTTAAAAGTTTTTACACAATCAAAACCAACATGGCTAAAATTAGAAGAGAAAGAGAAGATTGGGGGAAAAAATCTTTACAGCAAGTTTCTCTGGTAAAGGACTTATTTCTAAGATATATAGAGAATTACTTCAAATTTATAAGAATAAGAGCTATTCCCCATTTGGTAAATGGTCAAAGAATATGAATAGGCGGTTTCCAGAAGAAGAAATGTAAATATCAATAGCTATACAAAAAAATGCTCTAAATCTCAAAAAATTAATAAAATGCAAAATAAACAACTTTGATGAACTATCTCACAGTCATCAGAATGGCTAAATTGACAAAAAAAAAAGGAAAATAATAAATGCTGAAGGGGGTGTGGAAAAACAAGGACATTAATGTACTGTTGTTAGAGCTGTGAACTGGCCCAATCATTCTGGAAAATAATGTGCAACAATGTCCAATAAGTTTTTAAACAGCGCATATCCTTTGACTCAGCCCTAGCAGATCATTATCTGAAAGAGATCAAAGAAAGAGGAAAAGGATCCATTTGAAAAAAAATATATATTTATTCATAGCTCTTTTCATGGTGGCAAAGAATTGGAAACTTGTCCATTAATTAAGGAATGACTGAACAAGTTATGGCGTGTGAAATTTTTTTATTGCAAGTATCTCTGATAAAGGCCTCATTTCTCAAACACATAGAGAACTGAGTCATATAAGAATATAAGTCATTCTCCAATTGATAAATGGTCAAAGGATATGAACGGGCAGTTTTCAGATGAAGAAATCAAAGCTTTCTATAGTCATATGAAAAAATGCTCTGTATCATTACCGATTAGGGAAATGCAAATTTAAACAACTATGAGGTACCACCTTACACTTATCAGATTGGCTAATATGACAGAAAAGGAAAATGATAAATGTTGGAGAGGATGTGGAAAAAATGCGTTATTGATAGAGCTGTCAATTGATCTAACCATTGGAACTATGCCCAAAGGGCTATAAAACTGTTCATGTCCTTTGACCCAGCAATATCACTACTAAATCTGTTATCTTAAAGATATTTTTTTAAAAAGGCAGGGAGGGAAGGGCCTATTTGCATAAAAATATTTATAGCAGCTCTTTTCGTGGAGGCAAAGAATAGGAAAATGGGGGGATACCCATGAATTGGGGAATGGCTGAACAAGTTGTGGTATATCATTGTAATGGAATTCTATTATTCCATAAGAAAGAGGGTTTAGAAAAGATTGAGAGAAGGATACGGAGGCACTGAGTTTGGATGGCTTTCTCAAGGAGTTTACCCATAAAGTGGAAAAGAGATATAGAATGATAGCTATAAAGGACCTATAAAGGAATATGCTATCCACCTCCAGAGAAAGTATACATAGTATGGTTCATATATAGTTATAAATCCGCATCAAATGTTCTCTAGTGCAGGGTGGAGAGGGAGGCAGACAATTTGGAACTTAAAATACAACCAAAAAAAGGGAAGAAAAGAAAAAAAATATAAAAAATACATAGAATACAAAAATATTCATTAGGAAAAAAAGAAAAAGAAAGGGGAGGTAACAACAAATGGGGGAAAATAAAAATAATCAGACAAAAATGCACAATGGCAATAAAACTCAAAATACACAATAAATGTATAAATAGTTATTAAAATGTAAAATATGCAAATCGACAATAAACAGGAAGTAAAGAGCAAAATATAAATTCATCTTAAGGGAAATAAGTTAACTAACTTTCAGATAAAAAGGCAGCAGGACTAGATGGATTCATAATTTAATTCTATGAAACATTTAAAAAACCAAATAATCTCCACATTATACAAACCATTTTTTAAATTGAAAAATATGACAACCTGGTAAGAAAATTATGGAAAAAAGGTAACTAAAGAGTGGTATGCTACACACACACACATACACACACACACACACATACACACACGCATACATACATACATACATACATATATATACCCTAATAGTAACACAGAACACAGTAATATACTTTGAAAATTATTCATTATGCTCATGTAAGATTTATAATAGGGCTATATTAGGAAAACAATCAATATAATACACCATGTGATAGTATGTCATGCTATTATTATGCTGAAAATAATTAGCAGATAGATTATATAATAATAAAAAACCAAAACTCATGTAATAATATGAACAGATGCAGGAAAGACTTTTGATAAGCTATTTAGTACATATTAAAACTATTTTAAAGAAGTAAAGGAACTGGTACATTATAGCCTTCAAATTAAAAAAGTATAACATAATAAAATGATAATGTTAGAAAAGATGTGAGAGGACAGGCACACAAATGAACTGTTCATGGAGCTATGAAATGATCCAACCATTCTGGAAAGCAATTTGGAACAACATCCAAAAAGTTATTAAACTGTCCATGTCCTTGTCTCAGACATACCACTACTCCACCTATACATCAAAGAGATAGAAGAGCGAAATTTATTTTTATTTGTAGCAGTTGTTTTTGTTAATATCTCAGATTGGAAAGTAAGGGAGTGCTCTATTGAAGAATGGCTATACAACTTACGATATGTGAATGTAATGGAATATGATTATTTCATGAAAAATGATGAAGTGGACAGTTCCAGAGGTAATTTGGAAGACCTCTAAGAACTAACACAGTGAGGTGAGCAGATCTAGAAAAATAGTTATACAATTACGATATTATAAAGAAAAACAACTTTGAAGGACTTTGATTAATGCAACGATAAACCAGGGTGTCAAAGGACTAAAGATGAAGCATGCTACCCATCTCCTTCCAGAAAGGTGATGGATTTAAAATTCTGAAGGAGACATAGATTTTTGACATGGCCAATATGGGAGTTTGTTTTGTTGAACTATAAATATTATTGTTCAGTTAGAGAGGGGGAAGAGAGGAATAGATAACAAATACATGTACAAATTAAAAATATATGTATAATAGAATTAAAAAAATTTTTAGTACAGGAACTGGAAATATTTGTCCTTTAAAGTATGTCAAAATATTAGATTTCCCCACTAAGAAGACAGGTAAAATAGGGCCATTCATGCCTCAACCTTGTGACTTGGAAGAGTTATAAAATGTAAATTTCTATAATGTACAGGAGTTTGGGGGGTTTTTTTTAGTATACATAGTACTAAAACTGCTCTGCATCTCTATTTTTTCCTGCCTATTTTAAAATGTTTCATTCATATTTTCTTTTTTTGTGTGTCATTACCACTAGCTATCCACCTTCCCCTTTACAATTCTATCCCTACCCAAGCCTGCTGCTATAACAAAGTATAGTCAGTTCTGCTATGTGTTCCTAAAAATCACAGAGCTAGGCAAAACTGAGCAATAAAAACCACAGGACTTATGGGGGAAATTGGATTATGAGCACAATACTCAAAAACTTCATCAATGATTTGTAGAAAAAGGTAGGAATTTGATAAAAAAAAAAACAAACAACAAAATAGCAGTACAGTTTAATACATTTTCTCCTCTACCCACTGCTCCTACTATTCCAGAAGATATACAATCAATAATAGCTCTTAAACTTAAAAAAGACCTGAAGTCTGCTTGTGGTAGTACGGTTTGGAAGGGTTGTAGTTTGTGAGTTATCGAAAAGTAGTGCAGGTTTCTGTGTTCTGTTTGTTCCTCAAAAATTAAATAGAGCATAAGCAATCTTAAAATCTGTGTTCTGTTCTAATACATCAATTGTTTGATAACAAATTCACATTTTCGAAACAAGTGTTACCATAGAAATGTCTATATAGTTAAGTAAATGAGCTCATTACTAAGCTGAAACCCCAAAATATCCATCAATCAGTAGCAATGTGCTTTATAGCTCCTCCTCCCTTTGTCTGTTTCCTATAATTATTACTGGGATTTCCTGGGGTTTTTATGGGGATCTATATGTCACTATTGAAACTGTTTCATCTAGCAGCTGCCCAGACTGGCCCCTATTGTAAGTAACCCATATATGATTATTAAAACCATTTAAATAATCATAATGGAGCTCCTGGCCTCTTTCTTCAGTATACAACTAACTCCTCTGTTTGGGGAAAATGAGAATATCCCAGTGCACAGAGATATCAGATCTCACAAACCGAGACACAAAATGCTATCTTACTAGTTTCAGTAATATAGTGTATATCAACCCAATCTTTAGCAATTCTACACATGAACAAAAACTAAAATAATTTCATGGATTCCTTTGGAAGTCTGACAAGGGCCTATGGAATCCTCAGACTAATATTTTTTCTTTTTTTGAGAAATTTATTTTTAAACATTTATTTTTTAAAAATTCCTCCCTCCTAACCCTCCTCCACTCATTGAAAAGGCAATTGAAAATGACATCGATTACACATGTAATGTCATGCAAAATATATTTACACCTTGGGTATGTTGCCAAAAAAATAGTAAAAAGTAAGAAACATATAAAAGGTGAAAAAAGTATGCTTCAATCTGCACTCAGAGGTCATCAGTTCTTTCTCAGGAGGCGGGCAGCATTTTTCACCATTGATCTTTCAGAATTGTCTTGGATCACCGTCTTGATCAGAGCAGCTAAGTCTTTCATTTTAAAAAGTTCATGGACTTAAGTTCACAGGTTAAAAAACCTTAAACTAAGAGATCTTGGAGGATTCTTGCGACTCTAAATCCTATAATCCTCTTGGATTATATTAAAAAAGGGATTTTGGGGGCAGCTATGTGGCGCAGGAGGAATCCAGGTTCAAATCCCATCTCAGATCAGACACTTGACACTAGCTTCGAGACCCTGGGCAAATCACTTAACCCCAACTGCCTCGCAAAAATAAAACAAAAAGGGATTTTTAAGAGCTAAGAGCAGTCTTTTAAAGGCTGACATACCTAATTCCATTTTGCTTTCTGATTTAAACAGCCTCTTTCTTTCCAAGCTGGAGAGAAGAACAGTTGCCCTTGGTGGTTCTTAAGTATTAGAAAAGTCTTCAAAACTGCAAGTTGCAAAATATCTTGTTCTGTTTCTTTTCTTTCCTAGCTAAGCAAGAAGAATGACTCATTTATCACAATTGACTTTCTGCAAAGCAAACTTGGTGGGGACTCTGCTATGGGAGAACCCTCACCAGGTGAAGAGTCATGAGGTACCCTTCTGCCTCACAACCTTTGTACTTTAAGCTTGAGCCCACTTTCTCTGAAAACATGTGTGTGCGGGCGCCCCTCCTCTGGTTGGGGGAAGATTATTTATTAACTACTGTTCTTACAATACCTTCTCAGTAAAAATCATTTTGTAAAAACTAACTGATGTCAACTAGTTGTTCAATATTTGTAAGCAAAAAGGAGGGGAGTTTGTGAGCAACAATACTACAATCCCGATTATTTCAGGGTTACCCCCCAGAATCCTAGGGAAAGAAACAGTCACCTATGGGAACCTTTTGGTTCAGTGCTAGTTGGGACAGTGAGGCTTGAATTTGAAAGTCAAATTTTCTATTCATCTCTGATCTTTTCATCAGGAATGTTCAAAAATCCTCTATTTCATTAAATACCCATTTTTTTTCCTCTTAAGGGATTTTACTTAGTTTTGCTGGGTAGTCTTGGTTGTAATCCTAGCTCCTTTGCCTCCAGATTCTCACATTCCAAGCCCTCTGCTCCTTTAACATGGAAGCAGTTAAATCTTTTGTGATCCTGACTGTGGTTTCACAGTTTCTGAATGGTTTCTTTCTTGCTGTTTGCTGCTCTTTGATCTGGGAGCTCTGGATTTTAGCTATAACACAGAGCCTCGAATATAGTAAATATTTTAAAAATGCCATTGACTGATGTGGAATTTCATTTTTTGTTCCATAATTACTGTAAAATGTGAGTGGAAGTTGGTTTGGTTAATTCAAATCAATAATTTGATTAGGCAAATATGTAAGAATCCAACCCCTCCCTCCAAACAGAATCAATACACTAATAGTTTGTGTTTTTCATGGATTTTATCTAAAAACTAGAGTATAGATTGTTTTTCTTCCTCAGGATTTAAAGCAAATTTTATTTTGCATGCCTTATCTTTCTTCACACCAATGTTTTCATTCAGGTGTAACCAGGTTAAAATAAATATCAAGTGAAATCTTGAGCAAAGAAATCCTAAAAAAACAACATACAGCCTGAGGAGTTGGTATGGAAGAAGGTTCCTTTCCTCCTGCCTAGCTGAGGGAGGAAATACTGCTCTGGATATCCTCTGGATTCTACTCACTATCCAGCTACCTGGTATTACTCATAGCTGTTCCCTGATTCCTCTACCCACCCCCATCCTTCCCTAAAAGTAGTTCAAGGCAATTAACCCATGGTTGACTAACTAGCTATTGTCTTACTTGAGTGTTTTCTTCACACAATTCAATTAAATAAAACAGATCTTCAAACAACAATTTACAAGGCACAATACTGGAGATAGAAAAAAGGATATTAGTTCCTCCCCTCCAGGAGTTTACTATCTACTTAAGGAGATCCCTTACACACACACACACACAAAATGCCAATTGTCATGTGGTAAAAGATTTTTCCGGGTGGCAGAGCCAAGATGGCAGAGTAAAAGCAGTGACTTGAGCTGTCCCCCAACCCCTCCGAATACCTATTTAAAAAATGGCTCTAAACAAATTCTAAAGCAGCAGAACCCACAAAAAATCAGAGTAAAACAAATTTCCAACCCACGATAACCCATATGGTTGGTCGGAAAGGTACATCAAGCCAGGCTGGGAGAGGCATGTAGTTTGGAGTGGGCACACGGACTGCAGTGAGCTCAGAGGGCTGAATCTCAGGCAGCTGTGGTGGTTTCCAGACGTCTCAACCCATGAATGCCAAAGACAACTTGGAAGGTGAGTGGGAAAAGTCTGTTTCTGCCGTGAGAGAGAAGCACTCCCTAGCTCTGCCCTGGGGCTGTGGCCACCTGCTGAGCTTCCAGCCCACAGACTGAGGGGGAATTCAGTGGCTGATCACAGTGGGACTGCAGGGATCTCTCTGCTGGTGCAGGAGTCTCTTGCTTTGCCCATGCTTGGATCTGGGTCACAGTTCTGAGTGGGGCAAGGAGGAGTGCTGGTGGGGTGGAGCTTGTAGTGGCAGAGATGAGAAAATCCTCCTCACAGTTCCAAGGCAGAAAAGAGTGCTTGTGGTCACTCCTAGGCCAGGAAAGGAGTAACTACCTCACCCTTGATCATAGCACCTTGGAAGAACTAAAAATTTACAGGTCCTTAGAAGTGTCTCTGAAAACAGCTACACAAAACCTGTGAAGCTTGGGACAGTACATTCTCCACAATGGAAACAGACCCCTACCTTAACAAAGAGTTTATAACTCAAGTAACTGGCCAGGATCATGAGCAAGCAGCGCAAAAAGAGTCAGACTATATTATGTTACTTTGGTGACAAAGAAGATCAAAACATATAACCAGAAGAAGACAACAAAGCCAAAGCTCCTACATCCAAAGCTTCCAAGAAAAACATGAATCAGTCCCAGGCCATGTAAGAGCTCAAAAAGGATTCTGAGAAGCAAGTAAGAGAAGTTGAGGAAAAACTGAGAGTGATGCTAAAGGAGACCCAAAAAATACTGAAGAAAATAACACCTTAAAAAATAGCCTAACCCAAATGGCAAAAGAGATCCAAAAAGCCAATGAGGAGAAGAATGCCCTAAAAAGAAAAACTGGCCAAATGGAAAAGGAAGTCAAAAGCTTCCTGAAGAAAACACTTCCTTAAAAATTAGAATAGAACAATTGGAAGATGGTGACTTTATGAGAAATCAAGACACTGTAAAACAAATCCAAAAGAATGAAAAAATAGAAGACAATGTGAAATATCTCACTGGAAAAACAACTGACCTGGAAAATAGATCCAGGAGAGAGAACTTAAAAATTATTGGACTATCTGAAAGCCATGATCAAAAAAAGAGCCTAGACATCATCTTTCAAGAAATTATCAAAGAAAACTGCCCTGATATTTTAGAACCAGAAGGCAAAACAGAAATTGAAAGAATCCACCAATCTCTAGGAATATTGTAGCCAAATTCCAGAATTGCCAGGTCAAGGAGAAAATATTACAAGCTGCCAGAAAGAAACAATTCAAGTATGATGGAAACACAATCAGGATAACACAAGATTTAGCAGCTTCTACATTAAGGGACTGGAGGGCATGGAGCATTATATTCCCGAGGGCAAAGGAGATAGGATTACAACCAAGAATCACCTACCCAGCAAAACTGAGTATAATCCTTCAGGGAAAAAAAATGGTCATTCAGTGAAATAGAGCACTTTCAAGCATTCTTGATGAAAAGACCACAGCTGAATAGAAAATTTGATTTTCAAACACAAGACTCAAGTGGAACATGAAGAGGTAAACAGGAAAGAGAAATCATAAAAGACTTATTAAGGTCGAACTGTTGACATTCCTGCATGGAAAGATGATATTTATAACTCATGAGACCTTTGTCAGTATTACGGTAGTTGTAGGGGAAAAAATTATATGTATGTATCTAGATAGATAGATAGATAGATAGATAGATAGATAGATAGATAGATAGATAGAGGGTATAGGGTGAGTTGAAGATTAAGGGGTCATATCTGGAGGATAAAATTAAGGGATGAGAGAGGATTATACTAGGAGAAGGAGAAAGGGAGAAGTAGAACAGGGTGAGTTATCTCACACACATACAAAAAAAACAGAAAAGAAAAGGCTCTTACAATGGAGGGGAAACGGGAGAAGGAGAGAGGGAATCAGTGAATCTTATTCTCATAGGATCTAGCTTAAGGAGGAAATAACATACGCATTCAATTGGGTATGGAAACCTATCTTACCCTACAGGAAAATGGGGGGGGGGAAGTGGACAAGAGAGCAGGGGGATGATAGAGGGAGAGCAGATTGGGGGAGGGGTAATCAGAAGCAAACACTTCTAAGGAGGTCAAAAGAGAGAATAGAATAAATAAGGGGCGGGATATGATGAAGGGAAATATAGTTAGTTTTCCATAGCATAATTACTATGGAAGTGTTTTGCATGGCTGCACATGTATAACCTATACTGAGTTGCTTGCCTTTTCAGTGAGGGTGGGTGGTGAGGGAGAAAGGGAGAAAATTTGGAACCCAAAGTTTTAAAAATACATGTTTAAAAAAAAATGTTTCACATGCAACTAGGAAATAAGAAATATAGGAAATGGGGTACAGAAGTCTATCCTGCCCTACAGGAAAATAGAAGGGGAAGGGATAAGAGAAGGGGGGGAGAGATAGAAGAGAGGGCAGAGTGGGGAAGGGGTATTCAGAATGCGTGCCATCTTGGGGTGGGGGGAGGGGGAAATGGGGTGAAAATTTGGAACTCAAACTCTTGTGGAAGTAAATGTTGAAAACTAAAAATAAATTTATATATAAAAAAAGGTAGGTGGGACCACAATTGTGTTGGGCCCTACAAAACAAACTGAGGATTTTGTACATTATCCTTGTGGCAGTAGGGAGCCATTGAACTTTTTGCATGGAATGGGAGTGGAGAGGGGACGTGTGAAATCCTTAGCTCTATGTTTCAAGAATATCAATTTGGCAGCTGTGTGGAACATAGATTAAAGAGGAAGACTGGATGCAGAGAGATCAATTAAAAAATGGAATGCTTCATGAATGTGTGTTATCACAAGAGCTGATTGTCCACAGGCAAGGTACAGCTTTCCTAGACCCAAGGGGATGAGATACAGGATAGGAAAGTTTCAGCTGTGTGAGAGAGTGACAGTCATGGTATTGGCAAAGCCTCATTTCTCTAGCAAGCACAATGAATACAGTTAAGAGATATTTTGGGACATCCAGGGCATTGCTACAGCCTTCTAATTACACTTCCAAAGATGGTTCTGCCAGATCATAGAGCCAACCAAACTTACGTAAAGGAATTAGAGGTACTATAACTTTATCCTTTCTCTCTCTACTATTATATTTACTACTGTACTATATACTATACTACTATATTTTGGTGAAGAATTTCATGAAGTCTCTCATGATATCTTTGAGGATAAGATGGGGAGACAAGCACAGTTAGGTGGATTTGGAACTGGTTAAATGATTAGACTTCTAATAGCTCTATATTACTGCTGACTGCAAAATACTGTGCTAAGTCCTGGACACACAAATTGAAAAAGCAAGATAGTCTCTGCTCTCAAAGACCTCACATTCTAATAAGAGCAGAAAAAAAAAAAAATATATATATATACATATATACATACATCTATACACATATAGGAAAGTATATAGGATATGCATGTGTATATACATATGTATATGAATGTGAATATTTGTATTGTTTGCCTCTATTTGAATGTGAGATCTGTGAGAGCAGACTGTTGCTTTTTCATTTGTATCTCCACTGTTTAGCATGCTTTACACACAGTAAGTGCTTAATAAATGCTTTTTTTTATCCATTCACTTACTTAAGGTTTGAAAAAACATCACCGGTTTTTCCTCTATCCTCCCATTATTCTGACGCTGTTTCTCCTGTTGTTTTTTTTAAGTTTGTTATTTCATACATGCTGCTTTTTACAGAATACAATCAGCATGGTACAACAGGATACATACACACACACACACACACACACACACATATGCACATACACAAGACTGGATTTGGATTCAGAAAACTCTAATCTGAGTACTGGATCTCTCACTGGTCATGTGACCTTGGGCAAATCATCCAATTTAACTCCCAAATAAAGCATGACTCTCTTCTGCAGTCTCCTTGGCAAATGCTTATGAATCTCTGCTGGACTACCTCCAACAATATGGACCTCACTGCCTCACAAGGCAACCCATTTCGCAGCCAGACAGCTCTAATCACTAAAAAGAACTTCCTAATATTCAGCCACAACCTTTCTCCTTCTCTTTTCTACCTTTTGGTGCTAGTTCTATCACACTAAATAAATTTAATCCCTCTGCAATATCACAGTCCTTCAAGTATTTGAAGAAAATAAGCAGCTTCCCCACTTCTCCAGAAAAACATACCAGTAGCTTTTCACCTTTCCACAGAGAAGGCCTGATTGTAAGTTCTCTCTCCATCTTGGTTGCCCCAAGTTTATGGGGTATATGAGGTGTTCAGGGAACACTAGCACTTCCGGTGTGAGGGCTTGCTCAGCCCTTCACAGGGCTGCTTATTCACCTTTGGTGTCCATCTTCACCCAACCCTCACCTGTGTCTCCAAGAAGCTATGGCATGCACAGTGACCACACCCCAATAAACTGTCTTGGCAGATGGACTAACCCAGATTGAGGATAACTGACCTGTCAGTGAGTTAGAGGGATGCCTACTCCAAGCATGTGAAGACTTACTGGCAGCAGAATGGGCAGCTGGGAACAACCCTTTCCAACGGCCATGAAGGCAGCTGAATCAGGTGCTGTGGAGAGCTTAGAGCTTGGTCAGGCATCGAAGATGCCAAAGTCATTCACTGCATCCTGGGCCATCACCAGTTGTTCTGACTTTTGTCTTGCCACTGGATTTCAATAACGCTGGAAGAGACAGTGAGGCTGAGAACTTTGTGCAACTCTGCCTCACTTAAATCCAATTTACAGGCCCGTGAAAACAACACCCCTTGATGTCATTGGTTCTCCCTCTTCAAAAATGAAGGATAAACAACAACAACAACAACAACAACAACATGAGTTCCCAGTTAAAGCCTGGGGATACTTACTGTGTTTCTGGAGACAGTTTTATGAACTGTGACTTTTTCTGGAACCCTCTGCTGAAAAAACAGCCCAGTACAGAGATGTTCTAGCCCACAACCTCCACTTGCCTTTGCTGCCAAATGGCTTCTTTATTGCCAGAGCTTTGGGAATAGTCCCTGCCTTCCCCCTTTTATTTCCTGTACCAACATATTCTCATGGCAATTGTCTTGAGCAGAGGTGTCAAACACACTGCCAGCAGGCCCCCTGTGGCCAGCAATGCTCCTGAGTGACCTGATCCAAATTAAAATGCAATTGGGAAATATTTAATAAAATAAATAAACATACAATAAAAAAAAATACAATTGGCCAAACAGGAAAAAAAGTACACTGAAGAAATCAACTCCTTAAAAAGCAGAATTGGCCAAATGGAAAAGGAGGCAAAAAGTCTAATAGAAGGAAACAATTCATTAAAAATTGGAATTGGGCAAGTGGAAGCTAATGACTCTATGAGATATCAAGAATCAGTCAAACAGAAACAAAAGAATGAAAAAACAGAAGAAAATGTAAAATACCTCACTGGTAAAACAAGTGACCTAGAAAAGAGATCCAGGAGAGACAATTTAAAAATTATTGGTCTACCTGAAAACCATGACAAAAAAAAAGCCTGGACAGCATCTTTCAGGAAATCATCAAGTAAAACTGCCCTGAGGTCCTGGAAACAGAAGGTAAAATTGTCACCTAAAGAATCCACTGATCACCTCCTAAAAGAGATCCCAAATTGAAAATGCCAAGAAATATTGTAGCCAAATTCCAAAATCACCAGGTCAAAGAGAAAATACTGCAGTCAGAAAGAAACAATTTAAATACCAAGGAACCACAGTCAAGATTATGCAGGACCTTGTAGGTTCTACATTAAAAGATTGTAATACAATATTCCATAAGGCAAAGAAGCTTGGATTACAACCAAGGATCAACTATCCAGCAAAAATGAGCATAATCAGGGGCAGCTAGGTGGTACAGCGGATAGAGCAATGGCCTTGAAGTCAGGAGGACCTGAGTTTAAATCCAGCCTCAGACTAAACACTTGACACTCATTAGCTGTGTGACTCTGGGCAAGTCTCTTAACCCCAACTGCCTAAAAAAAAAATGAGCATAATCTTTCAGGGGAGGAGATAGACATTCAACGAAATAGGGGACATCTAGACCTTCCTGATGAAAAGACCAGAGCTCAACAGAAAATTTGATCTTCAAATACAAGAGTTAAGAGAGGCATAAAAAGGTAAGCAGTAAAGAAAAAGTGTTATTAATAAGGGCAAACTGCTTACATCCCTACAAGAGAAGATGATACTTATAACTCTTGAGAATTCTATCGTTATTACTGACATGTGAAAAGGATATACATAGAGAGAAGGCATGGGTATAAGTTGACTTCGATGTGATGATAAAAACTCTAAATGGTGAAAAGGGATTGTTTTGGGAGAAGAGGAAAGGAGGAGGCAGAGAAAGGTAAATTACATCACATGAAAAGGCACAAAAATCTATTACAGGAGAGAGAAAGAAGGGAGGGAGATGAACATTGTTTGAACCTTACTCTCATCAGATTTGACTTAAAGAGAGAATAACATAATAGTTACGTATAGAAATCTAATTTACCCTGTAGGAAGTAGGACAGGAAAAGGAAAAGAAAAGGGAAGTGGTAGATACAAGGGAGAGTAGAAGTATTAAGGGTAAAGGGGAAGGGGGGGGGCTGATAGAAGAGAGGGCAGACTGAGAGAGGCAGTTATTGGAAGCAAAACTCTAGTGAGGAGAAAAAGGGAGAGAGAAAGAAAAGCTTAACCAGGTTGGAAAATAGGATAGAGAGAAAGACACATAGTAATCATAACGGTGAATGTAAATGGGATGAACTCTCCCCATAAAATGGAAGTAGATAGCAGAGTGGATTAAGAACCACAATCCTACAATATGTTGTTTAAAACCCTGTAGACTTATATGAACTGACACTAAGTGAAATGAGAACCAGAACACTGTACATAGTAACAGCCACACTGTGCGATAACTAACTTTGATAGATTTAGCTCTTCTCAGCAATGCAAGGATCTAAGACAACTCCAAAAGACTCAAGATGGAAAATGCTATCCATGCTAAAGAACTGTGGAGTCTCAGTGCAGATGGAAGCATACTATTTTCTCTCCTTTTCTTTTGTTGTTTTGTTTTTTCTTTAATTCCTTCCACTAGTTCTAATTCTTCTTTACATCATGACTAATGTGAAATTGTTCAATGTGAATGTATAAGTAGAGTCTATATTAGACTGCATGCCATCTTGGGGAGGAGAGGGGGAGAAAATCTAAAACTCAAAATCTTATGGAAGTGAATGCTGAAAACTAAAAATAAATAAATTATTAAAACAAACAAAAAGGCATAATATGTTATATTTCTATTTATTCTTACTTAGCACTGTTCTGTACATCAGTTAAAACAGAAGTAACATGCATTTTTACCGGGGACGGTGAGTACTTCTGTGACATGAATAAGGATGATACTTTATAACAGCTCAATTTCAATATATGTCAGCTTTGTTAGTCTGTTTATTTCTACAGGTGAACCAAGATATCAAAGGTTGAAATGTACAAAAGATTAAAAACAACACCGTGGAAACTAATGGAGGAGAGGTAAGTTACTAGGTTCGAGCTCACTAAGCAAAGTCCCAAGGGTGGTGGTTTCCCCACAAAAGTACCAGGGTTAAAATCTCCAGAGACTTCATTCCATTTAAATTCTAGTTAACACTTTTTCGAAAAGAAAGCCAACTCATCTTTTCTTTGCTTTTCAGTACTTAAAACTCTAATTTCCGGAAAAAGTGCCCGCTTTTCATGCCTTAACTCCGTCTACCAGGACAGACACTATCTCCTAGGACTTTCGGAACAAGGGGGCCTGGGGAAAGGAAGGGGGTCCCAGAGTGCCCCCCAACACTCTCACCTCTCCCCAGACGCGCCCCTCCTAGAGCAGCCTTCCCAACAGCCCAGCCAAGAGACGCGGGAAGAAGTGAAGCGGTCACCATAGGAACTGGGCTTGGCCCTGGGCTCCCGAGAGACCGCCTCCGCCCGGACCACCTCCTCCTCCCCTCGGACCTCCTCCCCTCGGACCTCCTCCCCCGCCCCGCCCCCCCGACTCCAAGCAGGTGGGGGGGCCCTCCTCCCTCCTCCCGGAGTCCCCAGAGGGAGAGGACGGGGGGGGCGGGACACCCACTCAGATTCTCCCCGTCCTCACAGCCTTTCCGGTCAGAACTGAAGGCCTCCCCCACTCATCCAGGCGCTAGTCCCCGCGGGCGGCGGCCAGGCCCTGCCTCCTTCCCCTTCCCGTTCCCCCTCGTAGTCGCCCTTCCCAACACCCAAATCAACCCGGCCCCGCCCAGGTGGAGAAGGGAAACGGGAGGCGGGGCAGGGCGGAGGAGGAGGCGGTGCTAACCGCCGGGCCCCGCCCACACGCCTGCGTACCTGCGGGGGGCTCCTCCTCCACCTCCTCCACGGCCGTGGCGCCCTCGCTCTGGCTCACTCCCGCGGCCCGCGTGCACTCGACTGGGCTCGACCCTCTAGCGCCCGTACGCCTACTTACTAGGAGGCACGCTGCCAGCCACGCACTCACAGCTAGTGACGTACACGTCTACCTGCTCACCCGCCCTTCCAACGAGCTCGCACCCTCGGCGCGTGCCCGCGATTCCGCCTTCGCGCCAGCCCCCCCATTCAGCCTCCCTCTCGTGGTTCAAAAGCTGCCCCCTCCCCTTCCCCGCGACACCAGCGTCTGGTCTCCTAGTAACCAGACACGCGCCCTCTTTCCGCCTCGGCAGCCTTCCTCACCCTCCGCGCAGCTGCGCCCACAGGTCGGTCGCCTCACCTGAGAAGAGCGCGCATGCGCGCCTTGACATTTTCCCCACTCTTCTCCCCCGTCCCCACCCCCCCTTGGAACCCCAGCTCTATTTGCTCTGTCTAGGGCAGCCCGTGGCGCCTTATCTTGGTTCTTTATTTCTCCCGCTACCCGGCGCAGTTATCATTCCTAAGTCTACAGAACTCGGGTCTGGAGAGTCGGCTTCGTCCGTTGTTCTTGGGGCGCGGACTGCACTCTTGGGCCGCGGGCGGGCGCGCCGCGGAGCCTCCCGAGGTTTCCACCTGTAGCCTGTGCGGGATCCCGGAGAGCCGGCTGTCTAGACCGAGGTGAGCCCCGGGGAGCGCCGAGCAGTGGTGCCTCCCAAAGCGGCCGTCCTCTCCTCCCGTCCCGCCCCACACCCGGTCCGGTCTCAGACGCTGGAAGGCGCTGGACCGCGGTCAGCTCAGCCCCGGGCCGGAGGGGGCCCAGCCCGAAGGGGCTGCCCAGCGCTGAGGCGGCCCCTTCCCGCCCCGATTCCTGAATCCCCGGAGCAGGGGAGCGGAACGTGCAAACCCCTGTCCTTAAAGCGGCTTTTTTTTTTTTGAAGGGAGAGAGGGGGAGAAGTGGTCTGATATCTTGCTATAATGTTAGAGAAAAACATACACCTGTGCTTTCCTTGTTTTAATATCTAGTAAATAAGCCTTCTTTCTGCCATGACCATCACAGCGGTAGCTTAGGCACAGTGGAGACGAATTCGAGTATTAATTGTCTTAACGTGCGAAATTGAGGTGAAAGAAAGAAGACCAGGTTGGTCTCTGCCTTCCATTTAAAAAAAGAATGCTCTGGGGAAATAAGGGCGTTGATTTCTACCCACCCCTTCACAAGTAACAGACGATATTTGAACAATTGTGGTTCCTCCCTCTCTCTTTTTTTTCTTCTTTTTTTAAAATACAGTTGGGATGATGTCTAAATTTTCTCCTGAGTGTATTTCAGTGTTGGTGAAACACCTCAAACTTCTATTTAAAAAGTCAGGTCACATCTCGAAGAGATTGATAATTCATGTTTTAGAAAGGTGGTAATCATTTTTATGGCATTATATAAAAGATATGAATATTTTTCTTTAGGATGCTTCTTCAAAAATGATTATCATAATACAGATGCTTCATATGTTCCCAACTTCATAATTCTAATTTTTTAGATTCTTCTATAGTTTTATGTATACATATATAAGATGTACTCGTGTATATGCAATAGTTTGGTTTTTTTAAGCTTTTTTTTTTTTTGTAACCCGGCTTATCATGGGAGTACTCCTGATCTTCTAGACCGGGGCTTACCAATTGAGATGGATTTGACTCCTTTGAGAGAACCCTCAGTCCAACAAATCAGGGGTCTTCTCCGGTTTCTGTTACATTTTGTTTTTATACTTGTCATTTCCCCTTAATTTTGTACCCATTGAACTTTTCCTTTTAATAATGAAAAACATTTCAACAAAACCAACTTACACAGCCAACAAAATATGCCATACAGTATATATCACGCTCCACAACCTGAGTCCTCTCACCTCTCTACTGAGGGAACAAGTATACTTTGTTTCTCCAGAGACTCACAGGAACTACATGCATACAACTTTAAAACACTCTTTACAGTAATATAGACCTAAACAATTGGAGAAATACTGTTTATGGGTAGATTATGCCAATGCAATAAAAATGAAAATATCGCTTTATGTTTCATTCAGTGCCAGTCGATTTACCAGAGGATTACTTTATAGAGCTAAAAGTAATAAAAATTAATCCGAAGGAACAAAAGATTAAGAATAGGAAGGGAAATAATTTTTTTAAAATGGGAAGAATGGGAGCCTAATACCAGATTTCAAATTATACTAAGAAAGCAGTAATCATCCAAACAATTTGGTACTGGTTAAAAGATAAAGAGGTTGGTTACTCAGTACAACAAATTAGGTACCAACCAAACAGGAGTCATCAAGTGTTTGATAAATTCAAATACCATAGATAGTAGAATAAGAACTCACTATTTGACAAAAACTGTTGGGAAAACTGGAAAGCATTCTAGCAGAATTTAAATGTAGAAGAACACTTCATACCAAAATGGCTTCCAATTGTATATATAACATAAATATAAGGTTACATCATAGGTTAGAGAGAGGATCAAGGAAAAAAATAACCTTTCAAATCTCTAAATAGACCTAATGAGATATAGAAGATTACAAAGATAAAATGGATAGTTTTGATTATATAAAATTTAAAAGTTTTGGCATAAATCCAGTGTAGCCCGGATTAAAAGGGGGAAAAAATCTTTGCAGCAAGTTTCACTGATGAAGGTTTTATTTCAAAATATGGAAGGAATTGATTCAAGTTCATGAAAATAAGAGCCATTTCTCTTTTAATAAATAGTCTAAGGCTACATGAACAGGCAATTCTCCATGGAAGAAACCTAAACTACCTATATCCATATGAAGGAAAATGCACCAAATCACTAGTAAGCAGAGAAATGTAAATTAAAGCAACTCTGAAGTTCTACTTCATACCCATTAGATTGGCAAACCAGACAAAAAAATGACAAATGTTGAAGGGAATGTAGGAAAATAAGTTGATGTACTGTTTGAGGGGCTGTGAAGCGATCTAGCCATTCTGGCAAGCATTTCGGAATTGTGACCCAACGGTTACTAAACTATGCATACTTTTTGACCCAGTGGAAGCCTTTTTTGCTTCCCTGGCTTCCTTCATCTTTTACATGAAAATTTCGTCTTCTACATGAAAGTGTTTCCTAACCTCTCAATTCTATTGCCTTCCCTCTTTTGATTATTTCCTATTTGTCCTGTAAATAGCTTGTTTGTGCATAATTATTTCTTGTCTCCCCCATTGGTCTGTGAGTTCCTTGAGGGCAGAGTCTGTCTTTTGCCTTTTTATCTCTTCAGTGCAAGAGTTTAATAATTACTTATTGACTGACTAATGGTGATACTAATACTAGGCCTATATTTCAGTAATAAGCTTATACTCCAAAAAGATCAAAGAAAGAAGAAAAAGACCCCTTTTTAGCAGATCTTTTTGTAGTTGCAAAGAATTGTAAACTAAGGAAGTGCCCATCAGTTGGGAAATGGTTCAACAAATTGTTGTATATGAATAAAATGGAATACTATTTTGCTGAAAGATAGTTTCAAAGAAACTGGGATGAATGAAAAGCCCAAAAGAATTTCGGGGCAATTAATAATCAATTTATTAGGCTAGCTGATAATTAATGGTCAGTGGTTTCTCTTTTCTTGTTTTGTTCCTAAAAGTTACATAGGAGTCGCTTCAGTTTTTGAAGCAAATCATTTCGTCTTCTAGATCAACAAATATTTGTTAACAATTTATGTAACTGGCATTACTGTGGGCATTTTTAGAGATAAAACATAATAAAACTGGACCTTGTCCTTAAGAAGCTGAACTCCCTATTAAGGAAACAAACTATGCCCATGAAGCAAAAAACAATATAAAACAATATGTGAATAAATGTCCCCCAATCAATCAACAAGAGTTTATTAAGTTCCAGTTATGTGCCAGGCATTGTGCTAAGCCCTGAAAATACCAAGGAAAAAAGTAAAAACAGCCCCTGGCTACAAGAAGCTCACATTCTATTGAAGGAACTAATATGTACACAAATAATTGTAGGTTAATAGAAGGTAATTCTAAAAGGGGAAAGCACTAGCAGCTAAGGACACTAGGAAAGACTTCTGCACTGAGGCTTGAAGGAAGGCAGGGATTCTTAGAGGTAGAAGTGAAGGTAGTATATTCCAGGGATGAGGGACAGCTAGAGCAAAAGCAGAGAGATGAAAGATGCACTGGTATGTGTGAAGAACAGTAAGTAAACCAGTAAAGCTGAATTGTAGAGAGTAGTAATATGTAAGAAGACTGGAAAGAATGTTGTAAAGAGCTTTAAATCCTAGAGTCAGTAAGCATTTATTAAGCACCTACTGTATACCATGCACTGTCCTTAGTGCTGAGGCTTCAAAAGCTGTCAAAAGCTAATCTACAACTAAAGAGCTCACAGCCTAATGGTAGAGACAACATGCAAACAAATATGTACAAACAAGCTATATACAGGATAGATAGGAAGTACTCAACAGAGAGCAGGCACTGGAATTAAGAGAGATGGGAAAGGTTTCCTGGAGAATGTAGGATTTTAACTGGGATTTGGAGGAAGCCAGAAAAGGAAAGTCAGGCGGCATAAACAAGTAGGGAGAGCATTCTGGCCATGGGGGACAGCCAAGTGAAAGTGCTCACAGTAGGGAGATGAGTGTCTTGTTCAAGGATCAACAAGGAGGACAATGTCACTGGATTGAAGAGTACATGGGTGATAGTATATGTAAGAAAACTGGAAAGGTGAGGGGAGAGGCTAAGTTATGAAGAGTTCGAGTCCCAGGCAGAGGATTTATATTTTATTCTGGGGGTGATAAGGAACCACTGGAGTTTATCGAACAGGGAGGTGACGTAGTTAGATGTGTGCTTTAGGAAAATCACTGACTGCTGAATGGAAGATGGACTGGAGTGGGGAGAGATTTGCGGTATGCAGATCAACCAAGTAGACTTGGAATCATCCAGACTTGATGAGATAAGGGCCTGCGCCAGCATAGTGTCAGAGGAGAGAAAGGGGCATAAGAGATGGTGCAAAGGTGAAATTGACAGACCTTGGCATCAGTTTGGACACTGGTTGGGTGGGAGGGTGGAGCTGCAAGGAGGAGCACTGGAATTAGGAGCAGAGGATGACATCTAGGTTGCAAGCCTAGGAAACTTGACAGTAATAGAGGTGGAGCCAAGATGACAAAGTGCAGTGAGCATTTCTGCTGAGCTTTCCCAACCCCTAAATAACTTTCAAAAGGTATGTCAAATCAAATTCTGAGTGGGATAATAAAAAGTAAGTTACAGTGAGATCTTTTTCCACCCCAAGACAGTTTAGGAGAATAAAAGGACAGGCCTATAGCCACTGGAGTGGGAGCTGGCCAGATGCGCAGCATGGAAGAAGCATCACTGGCTAAGAGGCTTGGAGGAGGTGGTGGCACCGAGAGCCCTCAGCACCTAACGACAGTAAGGGGACTAAATACCTGGTCAGAAAGAGATTACAAGGGACCCCTGTGCTAACATTGAATACGGGACTAGGCACTGTTTGGCACTTGTGATGCCTGTTACCCAGTTCTGGGTTGCAGATCCAGAGCAGAGAGGAGCAGTTTCAGTCTGTGATCTAGAGAGGCCCTACTTGAGTAAGGACCAGAGTGAAGACCAGGAAAATAGTGACCAGAACTCTTCCCGGATCACACCTCCTTGGGAGCACCAAAAACCTACAAGCCCCC